TGTGATTCGACTGTATAATTTTCTGTCTTTTATTTTTACTAATAACTTGTATTTTTTTATATAATTGACTAATATATTTGGGAATGTGATTTTTAAGCACTTCAAAATTTTCCTTCATATATTCAGCCATTCACTTATTGAGCATTTGGATTGTTTCCAATTTTTCTCTAATTTCGTATCTCTATGATGAGTGTCCATGTTCTTAATTTACCTGCTTCTCCCTTTTATTCCCTAACAATATATTCTTCCTGGAGTGTGCAGGGCATTAGCATTGTTAACTATCTGGCAGCATGGCAGTATTATTATGGCACTTATTTATAATGGCATCTATGTTTTATTACCTAGAATTATGATGACAATTTCAATGAAAATGGAACTGGAGAAGGAGTAAAGATTGATCCAAAAGATGCTAACTTAAATCAAGATAATGCCAAAGAATTGGAAAATAGTTCCCAAGAAAATGTTAATGTCACAGAGACCATCAAACCACGTGATGATCCAAAGAGTGAAGCCAAAACGTAAGTCAGAGTTGTATATTTTGTAATTACTGAATATTGATAGTAAGGATAGCTTTTCATATATCAAATAAAATATCTTTTTCCATGATTGACCAATTAAGATAGGTCTGTCTGTACATACATACATACACACACGCATATGTATTTAGATGGAAGCTTGTTGGAAAGAGAATGCTAAAAGAATGTGCCTGCGGACATTTCGGCAACATGGCTAAAATCAGAAAGAAGTCACTTGGATCCCATTTTTGTTACCTTGTTCTGCCGTGGTTCTTATTTTGTCCTGGATCAGTAATTCTCAACATTCTTGGGAGAACAAGGCTCCTGCTGAGCCTCTTTCAGCCCCAGTCCCTGGAGCATCACTAACCACCTCTCCATGCTCAGGACAGGCGGCCTGTATCAGGCACCACTGTGTGGTGAGGACACGCGTGAGCAGCTTGGGGCCTTCCTGCACGAAGGAGCCCTGGGCTGCACAAGGCCATGGTGGTGGGCTAGGGGAAGGTCTCACTTGGGAGATAGCCAGTCCTTGTCCTCTGCTTCCCTGACTTGCTTGTCCCCATCCTCTTCTGTTCCTCTAAAATAGAAAATCATTTCTTGTTCCTTGAGGAAAGATCTGAAGAGTAAGTAGCCTCAGGTTCCTGTCATTATGGGACCATGAAAAAGACTGAAAGTGATTGAGTAAAGTGGAGCACGAGTTGAAAATGTTTAACACTGGAGCAACAGTGATGGGCTGGTGGAGTATACTTAGTGGTTTCAGGAATTGAGGTAGTGTGAAGGAGGGAAACAGACAAGGCTGAGGCCCACAGCAGGGCTCTGGCTATTAAAAAGGATGACAAGGAACTACACAAACCGGTAATGTCAAAGCTTTGAAGAACTTTGGCGAGTAGAAGCCTAATAGGGGAAATTCACGTTTATTTCACTCTGATATTTGTTCCCATTTTACAAATGGGGAAACTGAGTGTCAGCTTAAGTGACTTGTTCAAGGACAAAAGCTGGTTAAGTGGAAAAGCTGGCATTTAATTCCTGTCTGCCTGACCCCTTGAAGGCACCCAGGTCATCTAGCTCCGTGGGGCCTAAGTGTTCTGTAAGGGTGCCTTGTGCTGCTTGGCAGGCCAAGAGGTGGGGCTGTGGGCCCTTGAACCCTTGCTTCAGCTAGAGCTAAAGTTTTTTCATTTGCTTTCCATATTACTTCTACAGGAGAATTCATTTGGGTGGGAAAAAGGGTTCTCAGACTTGGACAACCACTGATATAGTTCAATTTTCTCATTTTACCAATGTGAGAAAAGTATTCAGAGAATTCAAGTGACTTCCTCATTGCTGAGGAATGGCAGGGATGAGATGGATACATCACATGCCCCACCCCCATCCCCACCGCTACCCTACTCCTGCTGTCCTGACATCCAGTGCTCTCTGCTGGGCTCCTCTGCTGCTTCTCTGTAGTGGTACAGACACTGGGGCTACCTAATGAGAATTGCTTTGTTAAAAAATGTGTGTGCGTACTATTTTTTTAAAAAAATAAATGTCTTAGATATTACCTTTGTAGATGTCTTTCATACTATGATAAACTGTTTGCCAAAAATATTATCCTCAATTTTCTTAGACATATTTGTGGCATATCTGTGATGATATTTTGTAAATTAGTATGTAACTTGTTGCCTTTTATGCTATTGTGTCCTTTTTTTGATGCTTTCATAGCTGGCTGAATACTACATAATGTTGAATTATACTCCTAATCTGCATCTTTTAAATGTGTAGGCCGTATAACTCAATACAGACCCTTAGTTTTTGCTTGAAGGATTAGTATATCCATGAAGTGCTTGGAAGCATTATCATAACTTAATCATTGTAACCCATCCTATCTGCTCCATAAATAGAGTTGCAGGATTTTTACCCTATGAATTTGGTTAGCACAAATGATGGAAAGTATAAAAGGAAAATTAAAATTCATGTAGGAGATTGAGTAGAGAATGTTCAGGAGTTCAAGCAGAATAGGAGGAACCTGACGACACTGGCTGGCAGTTTCTGATTTAAAGGGTACATTGGGGGAAAACCCACCCGATCAGAAGAAAGGACATAATTTTTTCATAAAAGTAAATTCCTTACATTGAGCAAATTCAATTTTATGAAAAACTGCATTACTGAGTCTTTATTTTTTTCATTTCTCCGTGGGACTGTTGAAACGTTTATCAGACTGGAACCACACTTAATGCCATAGATGATTTATGGTTATTACTGGTTGGTTATGAAGATGGTTTTGCTTCAATAAATGAAGTATTAAGTGCTTTGCTTTTTATAAAAACACACTGTATAAATGTTTAGAGATATTTTAGGGGTCTTGTTTTAGCTTTTTCAATTAAGAAAATTCCTTAATTTTTTGTGCCAAATTTGATTTAATTTTTATGCTACATTTAGTTTGATTCCTAAAGTTCTTCTCTTCATTTGAGATATGAAGATTAAATTAGCCATTCAATTAATGAATTAGCCTTTAAAGTGCATTTCACTATTTCGAATGTTCTTGGGAGCAAGATGACTATCAAAAGGGGTACATTATTTTTGGATTATGCTGAATTCTTTAATTTATTTTCCAGTGTTCTTAAACCCAAAGGAAAGAAAACCAAAGATATGAAAAAATCTGTCAAAGTACCTGCTGAACCACAGATCGTGGTAGGTCAAAATCATTTTCACATCTCTTTAGTGGACCTTCTTTAAGCAATGTAATATTCTAACGGTGTAAATGTGTATTCAGTGAGCCCTTTCCTGTAGAACCTGCAATGGTGTGGATCCATCAACAGTTCTGCGTGATGGACGTTGAATATTTATTTATATACACCACTATCAGTATTTCTTTAAGTAAAAAGAAGCACAGTGGAAATGTTAGACTGTACTAGAAGAACAGTTACTATTCTGTTCTCCATTACTTTGCAATCTGAAGCCTTGGTGATAAGAATTACATGTGTTAAATTCTGAAGATTGGTTGTGAAGCACAAACTCTTCCTCTATTCTAGTCCGTGGGATCCATGCTATTGAAAGTCTCAGGACCCTTAAAGTTAATGGTGTTGGTTAATGCTGCTTTTGTTGAGCCTGTTTTAGTAGCTGTCCATTTTGTTAAAACATCTTTATCTTGCAGTTGTTTGATGCTTAATCTTGACTTTAAAACATAAAACACTACTTCTAGATGATAATGCTTGCTTTTATTTATAATTTTTCCCCCTTCTTAGAGTGATGTCCTTATCAGCTGTACAACCTGCCATAGTGAATTTCCATCTCGGAATAAACTTTTTGACCATCTAAAGGCCACAGGTCATGCAAGAGCACCTTCATCGTCATCTTTAAACAGTGTAACAAGTAGTCGAAGCAAGAAGGAAAAACGTAAAAACAGATAGAAATTCTGCCTACGCTTTTTTTTTTTTTTTAAATTGTCTGGATTTTGAAACGAAACAACTGAACTGAAATCATCTAAAAAGTTAAAATTTCAGTGATCTGCAATTTATTGCATTGTGGAAGATTATTTTTTATGTTGTAAAAGCATTTTTTTTTGTTTAATATATATTTTTTAAACATTTCACTAGTGACTGAATTCTACTTTTACCATCTGAATTGACTTGAATGTCTCAAAGCAGGTAAATATTGTAAAGTGTGTATTGATTTCTCTTGGCTTATATGGACAGAAATGTACAGGGAGAATTAAATTATTTTAACACATACAAATGCCCCTTTGCTTTATTTTGTGAATTGCTCATTAAGTATTTTTATTTATTTAATGTTTTTGTATTTTGTTATGCTTCATAATCTGTCAAAAACTCAGATCTAGTTTATTCCACCTGACACCATGACTCCAGTTCTGATTTTAAAATTATTTCTAAATAACCAATTGTTGATTATTGTATTTTTTTCCCTCAAGAACATTGATAGATAGAAACTAATTGAACATATAGGATGTGTTTCAAGAATAATCTCTTCAAGATTTGACTGTGTTGTTTTAGTTTGATATTTTACTGATAGTTATCATCAAGATACATCTTTTGTTTTTTTGCTCTGATTTGAATTGCGGAGGTGGAAGCAAATTGATTTACATGCTACTTTACTTCCTTCCTAGGCACGATGATAGCTGTAAACTATGATGGAACAAGGTAGCAGATGGTACAGAATTTTTACTGACTTTAACAAGGGAGATGTTCTTCATTGGGTTTTGTTTTTTTTTTTCTTCAGTGTCTTCAGGTTTTGTTCTGTTTTTTCCATCATTCAATGGAGAAAAACTTTCTAAATGAAAGATTTTGGGATAGGGCTAATACTTATGCCATTTATTCTGTAGCAATGATGAATATTAAATTGAAAGAAATATGGAGAATCTTTATAACTGAGTATAACCAAGCACATCGATCATGATGAATCAATTTTTAGAATGGATTAAATAGGCAGTTCTTTTAAGTGGTCTTAAAAGTTACTTTAACACATTGACTGCCACACTAGAAAAAAAAGACCATGGTGTTTTATTACGAAAATAGAATAAAAACTTCAAAAACAAAATGATCATTTCTAATTTAGTGAAAAATTTGTTAGTTTTTATTGTTTTCTGTGTGTGAGTTATATGTAACTTGAAAAAATAGTTCAAGTGGCTCCCAAGGTAAAGAGACATGTGAGTTACTATGCTTCATAAGGCCCTGGGCTCCAAACTAGCATGAGTTAAATACAATTCACATGGCAAGTAATGTGTTAAACTCACTAGCTTGAAATGTATACTTTCAGTTCAGTGAAGTTACTTCTTATATCCTAGAATCGTCAAATGAGTGAATCTTTGGTTCTGTATAAGCTCTGTGTAGAGTCCCTAATGCCAGTCTTTCCAGATAGCCTTATAGATAGTATTGATAATCTAGTTCATTCTGTGTTGTTGACTTAAAAAATATACATTTGAACCTCAATTTAATTTTTTTCTTTTCCATTTAAAGATACGTATATTTTCTTTACCTTCATACCTTTTTATTTCTTGCTAACTTTTATCACTAATTCCTTATAATTCCAATAATCACTTCTTAATCCCTTTAAGGGGAATACTAGCCAGTTTTGTATCTTCTGGTTTCTTCCTCTCAGGCTTCATCTGAACACTCTACCTTCCTCTAATCTGTACTAGATGAGTTGGCTGTAATTATGAATAGAAATATTAATGAACAGAAGGACATATTAGTCACATGTTATTATATAGTAAAAAATATGAAGTCATCTGAAGGGCAGAGAATATCCTACAAATGTCCTTCAGGCCTTCTTTGCTTTCCCTTCTACTGACCATGCAGGTATTTCATTTGTTTCTGCCTCATATAGGCACTGCTTGGAGTTACTTGTCACTTTTTTTCGGATTGACAAAAATCAACCATTATTTTCAAGAGATCTTCATCAGTTGTGATTGGAAGTCAGGTCTCATGTCTAATCCTGTGTGATATTGAAATATGGTCTTCTTAGAACTTCATTTTTCCTTATCTCTTAACATAGTTCTTAGTATAATTTTGTCTCCATTTATCATACAGAATCATTATGAAAGTCAAAATAGTATACATGAAGGCACTCTTTGAACACAAAAGATTTATACAAAATATTGTTTAAATGAGTGAACTCTTTTCAGTTAAAACATGTGCAGACAGAAGTATACATGTTGAATTAAATGTGCATTAAGTTTTATAGGAATTTGCTTCCTAAATCTGCTTCTGAAGAGGAAAACAGGAACACATATTATGCCAAGGGTAAAATATCATTTTTGGGAAATTGTAGACATTTAATTTCATTTGTCTGAGGCAAGATATTCTAAAATATATATTCATCTTGTTAAAAGTCAGTGGTAGCTATCTGTCTTGATTGAAGTTAGCTCAGATGTGGAGATATATAGAATGAGGAGAGGGTTGGGGAAATCCCTTTTTTTCCTCCGTAATTACTCAATGGTGCCAAAGCTGGGGGTCCCCTGTAAAGCCCCTTTAGACTTTCCCTATTTCAAAATAGGAGCAGTATCCTTACACTCAGGCAAGCATTTTGCTGATTCCTGGCTTTGGTCACAAAGGAGAAGAAGCAGAACTGTAAATGAATTAGTGGAAGATCATTGACATCAGAGTTGATGTCCTATTGATTGCTGGTGAGGCAATATTGGTATTTTGGTATCATGAGAAAACTTATAGAAGGATTTCATCAGGAGTTTTTATTTTCTCTAAATCCTCCCCTGCAGAATTTCCAGATTGGAAACTACTATTTTTAGAACATTATCCCTGAAGTTGTTATTTAACTCATACAGGAAATAAAATTCTTGCAATAAGGTATAGTTTCATTTTAGAGCACCCCAAAACCCTGCAAATATTCTGTGCTGTGGTGCTGATTCTAGCCTGACCTTCAACATAAAATAATACATAGGACCTTTTAACCCTTATATTTCTATTTGATACAAGTTCAGTTTCGTGTAATCTGCAATGCTGAAGTATCTCTACTCAATACAATTAGCCCATTACTTATTTGTTAAGTTTATATAATATCTTTATAGTAAAATTACAGGCTCTTTCAGCTGGTGAGGGAGAATGGAGATGATTGTCAGATTTCTTGTTTCACAGAAGAGGAAGCTGAGCTCAGGGAGGTACGAGCTCCATAGCCACAGCTGGCTAAGGGCTGCTGCCGTGAGAACATGGCAGGTTCCTGGACTCCCAACTCAATAGTCCTTTCTGTTATACACCAAAAGTGTTATGTGGGGGGAAAAAGATTACTTTTAAGAAGAAGCAAGAAAATTTTGAGAAAGAGCAAGAGGGAGAGGCATGGACTTATCCTATTAATATCAAAGAATATAATAAAGCTGTAAAAATCAACGTGTGATTGGTGCTCGTATAGGTTGGTCAGTAGATCCCTGATGAGAATAAAGAGTCCAGAACAAGCCCAAATCTTTATGTGGGAACTTGATTTTTGACAGATTTTAGAAAGCTATCTTTATGGTGAAAACATAGTATGTACTACTTTACACCCTTCCCAAAAATAAACCAGATGGATTGAAGACCTAAATATGAAAAGCAAAACTTTTAAATGAGAATCTGTACGATTATCTGTGAGATCAGCCTGAGCAAGAACAAGACCTTGTCTATACTAGAAATAGAAAAATTAGCCAGGTGTCCTGCTGCTCGCCTATAGTCCCAGCTACTCAGGAAGTGGAGGCAGGAGGATCACTTGAGCCCAGGAGTTTGAAGTTTCAGTGAACTGTGATGACGCCACTACTCTCTACCTGGGGTGGCAGAACAAGACTCTGTCTCAAAAAAAAAAAAAAGATTATCATGATTTTGCAAAAGGGAAAGATTTCTTTAAAATAAGACACACAAGCACATGTTTATAGGGAAATAGGACTGCATTAAAATTAAGACTTTGTAAAACAATAGGCACCATAAGTAAAAGAACAAACTACAGACGGAAAAAATGTTTGCAGTACATATAACTGTCTAAGGTTTAGTATCCACAATACATTAAAAAGCAAAAGAACCTTGTACAGAATCAATGAGAAAATGACAGCTGTGCATTAGAACAGCAGTTCTGAAACCTTTTAGTGTCAAGACCCCTTTACCCTCTTAAAAATTGAGAACCTTAAGTAGTTTTGGTGTATGTGGGTTTTATCCATTGATATTTACTGTGTTAGAATTAAAATTGAGAAAATTAAAAAGTTTAAAAAATAATACATGTTAAATAATTATAGAAGATAGTTTTCAAAAGTTTAATGAGAAGCATGGCATTGTTTTACATTTTTATAAATCTCTTTAACGTTTACCTTAATGAAAGACAGCTGGACTCTCATACCTGCTTCTGCAATCAGTGTGTTGCTGTATGTTTTGGTTAAGTATATGAAGAAGAAAATCCAGCCTCACATGGATAGGTAATTGGAAAAAGAGGGACCTTGCAGACCCCTGAATGGATCTCAGGGGACCTCCAGGGTCCTTGGACCACACGTAGAACCGCTGCATTAGAAAAATGGGTACACAATATGAAAAGGCTTTATTAGTCAAAAAATGTGAAAAGATAGATGATTATTGTCCTGATGATCAGGGATATGTGACTTTGTTTCATGCTTTCAGATTGGCAAAAGGTAAAAAGTCACAAGATCAAGCATTAGTGAGGATGGAGAAATGGGAACACGTTCACTTCTTTGGAGTGAAAATTGGTTCAATTTGATGATGTCTAAGAAAGTTGAAGATACACATACCCTGTGACCCAGCAATTCTGGGTATATACCTAGAGTCTGTCTTCTCAAAGTGTGGTCCACAGGGAAACAGCATGGGCTTCACCTGGCAACTTTGCAGCTCTCAGGTCCTGCCTTGGACCTGAATCGGTGGTTAACAAGATTTCTTAGGTGACTCATATGCTCATTAAAGCTTGAGAATGCTCTAGAAAAACCCACACAAGTATGTACAAGGAGTTGTACAAAGAATGCTCACAGCTGAATTGTTTGTTTCTAGGAAAAGTTGGGAACAACCTAAATGCTCATGAGCAAGAAAATGGATAAATTGTGTCCTGTTGTTTATAAGATGGCAAACAATTGAGCAGTTCCAATGAATGAACTTGATCAGTAATACCAGTGTGGATGGCCCTTGGAAAAATATCAGATAGAAATAATCTGTCACAGAAGATGAAATGTATGCCACTCACACAGTTTTTAAAAATACTATCTTGATTGTTATTTATATAGAGAAAGTAT